GGTCAGCTCAGCTTTCTCATCCCCTAATGCGACGCTGTTTACACTGTAGTTTTACTGCTGGGATGTCACCTGTCCCCTGCTCCACACTCTGGCCAGGCAGGGCTCTTCCATGGGGCTGCTGTGTTGGGCAGCAGCGGGCAGAAAACCCTCCCTTGCAGGAGGAGGGAGCAGGGAGGATGTTTGGGGCAGGGAGTGGTTTTTGGGGGGCTAGCAACACTAGGTGTCCATCCCCTTTCTCCTAGGAAAAGCCTTAAATACAAAGCAGAGGGAGACCAGAATTTCAGAAATCTCTCACCTGTGCGAGGAGGGCAAACTCCCATCCAGGAACAAACATTAGCCAGGCTGGAAGGAAAAACTACAATGGTAGTTTTGCAATTCACTATGTCACCAAGGAAATATCTCTGCATGGGCTGCTGACAAGGGCTGCCTGAGGCCAGGGTGCTCCAAAACCTGTCGTCCCTCTGTCCCTGCTTATTCTCACTGCACATAAAGGACTTGTTATTTAGGGCCCCAGCAGAGAGATCTTCGAGTTTGAAAAGCAGTAGGGAGCACAGGGCTGGAAGGATGGGACAAAGTGCAGCCGTTGGCCTTGGCTGCGGAGCACCCAGCACTGCTGGCTGGCAGCAGGTGAGATGCAGCGTGTCCGCACGCCTTACCTGGAGCGTTTGCACCCCCAGGGTTATCAACGCTGAGAAGTCAGAGTTCAACGAGGACCAGGCGGCCTGCTGTCAGATCTCCATCCGGAGGAGAGAGCTGGGCCTGGAGGAGGACGAGGAATGGCTGATCCTGTGCTCCACACAGGTATAGCCCACAGGCAGGCTGTGCCCACCCTGCTGCCAGCCCTGGTCTGTACCCAAGGGCCAGGTACAGGAAACACAGGGTTGCCCCACCAGTCCTACATGCCCATGTGCTGAAACCCTTCCTGGGATGCATTTAGGGGACCCGTGTACCCTATGTCTGGCCAGCAAACGCCCAGCTCTGCCCATATACACCATTTCTATCTCCTTGGCCCAGGCCTTGCAGCATCTGAGGTTGTCCAAGCCCTTTACTCAGTGCTCTCACCTTTCCTTTACTGTCCTCACTCTGCTTTCAAGAGCCAGTGTGTTGCTATGACGTGGGACAGCAGCGTGCACCAGGACTGCGGGATGCTCTCACCTGGGAGCGCCTCTGCCTCTGTTAAAACTGAGTGGTCCCATCTCCCCTAAACCGCAGAGGAATAGCGTGTGAGGGCGGGCGGCTGCAAATCCAGCCGCCCAGAGGTCAGGTGAGGGGTCTGGCAGAGCAGCACGTGGGCATCACATGAGTTTGAGTCGTGCAGGGGATTAACTGGCAGGGAAGGGTATCTGGGGTGGAGCAGCCAGGCAAAACATGTCCAGCAATGTGCTGGCCACCAGCCTGCCGTCTGCGTGACCTCTTTCCAGCCCCTGTCTTCCCCCTCTCCTGTGCTGTCTTGTCCCTCTTCCCCACTGCAGTTTCTGACTGGTTACTACTGGGCGCTGTTTGATGGCCATGGTGGCCCAGAAGCTGCCATCATCGCCTCCAACTATTTGCACTACTGCATCAAGCAGAAGCTGGAGGACATTGTGGGGGGCATCACAGAGGCTCGTCCCCCCATGCATCTGAGCGGACGCTGCGTCTGTGACAGCGACCCCCAGTTTGTGGAGGACAAGCACATCCACGCAGAAGACCTGGTGGTGGGAGCCCTGGAGAATGCCTTCCAGGAATGCGTGAGTGCCCCACGCAGGGCACTGGTCCTGCTGCCCCACGCAGTTAATCTGCCCCTCCTTGCTGCCCGCAGTGGGCAAGCTCTGCAGTTCTGCAGCTTGTTGAGCAGGCAGGAACATTTAGCCAAACCTTTGAGCGTGCTGAGATCACGCTGGGTCAGCTCCCCAAGGTCTGCCTCAGATCTGTTGCACATCAGCAGCGCTGACCCAGAGCAATGCTACAGCATCCCTGCTAAGCCTGCGCCCAGGGAATACGTTGCTTTAGGGCTGGACGGTGGCTGTTGTCAGGCTCGTACAGAGCGTACAAGTTTGACCTCTCCCCGTCACGCTCCTAAAGTGGTCCTTAGTCCAGTAGCAACAGCTTTGTTGGCTGTACCGAAGCAACATCATCTTCTGCCTTCCTGGTTTCCCAGGGCCCATCTGCAATCAGTTTTGGCTCTGGATTTCTGCTGGGAGGCAGGAGGCAGCTGCAAAAAGCAGCACTCCAGCTCACATCACTCTCCAGGCTTGTTTAAACCAACAGGATGAAGTCATCGGCCAGGAGATGGAAGCTACAAACCAGACGGGAGGCTGCACTGCTCTGGCTGCCTTTTATTTCCAGGGAAAGCTCTATGTGGCTAACGCTGGGGACAGCAGGTGAGCCACAATAAAAGGGCAAAGTTGCTGGGGGACGAGAGCTGGGAGATAAGCAGGGCTTCCAGCATCTTATTTAATCCTACGGAGGATAAATGTGCAGCCCAGCCATTCCCTCTTGCCTGCCACTGGACCTGTTGGATGGATGGATGTTCTCATGCCTCCTGGAAAGGTTTGAGGATTTCAAGGGACTAACACCTCCCAGTCACAGGGCAGCGTGGGGTGGTAGTGCAGCATTAAGCTCAGCCTGGCAGGTGTTTAAAAGTGGAAGGAGCTGGAGCACCTCTCCTATAAAGATAGGCTGAGAGAGTTGGGGTTGTTCAGCCTGGAGAAGAGAAGGCTCCAGGGAGGTCTTAACAGCAGCCTTTCAGTACCTAAAGGGGCTACAAGAAAGCTGGAGAGGGACTTTTTACAAGGGCGTGTAGTGATAGGACAAGGGGCAATGGCTTTACACTGAAAAAGGGGAAATTTCGATTAGATCTAAGGGAGAAGTTTTTTACAATGAGGGTGGTGAGGCACTGGAACAGGTCGCCTAGAGAAGTTGTGGATGCCCCATCCCTGGATGTGTTCAAGGCAGGTTGGATGGAGCTCTGAGCAACCCAATCTAGTGGAAGGTGTCCCTGCCCGTGGCATGAGGGTTGGAACTAGATGATCTTTAAGCTCCTTCCAACCCAACCATTCTATGATTTCAAAGCATCCTAACATGCTTCCTCATCTGGCCTTGGCCCACCATTTCTCTAGCAGTGAGCTCTACCAGTCAGACCAGGCAGGCTCAGTTCTCTGTTGTGACAGTGCAATTGCAGTGGAGTTCCTTAAACCACACTGGCATTTTTAAATGTTCCTGGGTGCAGAGCTATTCTCTGGCATTGCTCTGCTGCTGGTTACTCCCAGTCCCACACCTGGCTAGCCCTGGGGACAGCCTCAGTAAGAGGAGGGCTGCAGTGACAGACACAGCTCAGCTCTTTGCCTCTTTGCAGGGCGATTCTTGTTCTGAAGGACAACGTTGTGCCCATGAGCTGTGAGTTCACACCCGAGACAGAGAGGCAGCGAATCCAGCACTTGGTGAGTGACTCCTTTGGCATATCGGATGAGGGATATGCCAGCCGCAAGCACCCCACTGGGTCAGAGAGGGCTTGTGGCAAGAGCACCACCAGCTTTCCTCAAAGGTCACTGTATGGCCAGAACGTCATCTGGCACTGGCCAAGGAGGGCTTGGGGCAAGATTCAACCCTTAGTTAGGTGCAGAGCATGGTTTTGCTGCCCACTTTGGCTGAAGCAGAGCCTGTCCATTCTCACACCTTCATTCCCTCCTCCAGGCTTTTCTCTTCCCCAAGCTCTTGGATGGTGAGTTCACACGCTTTGAGTTTCCACGGAGGTTGAAGGCAGACGATGTGGGCCAGAAAGTCCTGTACCGGGATTACTTCATGGAGGGCTGGTGAGTCCTTTTTGCCTGTGAGGGGGGCACTGCAAGGGTTGAGTCACAGTCAAAATGCTCTGTGTTGTACCTTTAAGTAAATCAGACTAATCCCAAATCAACACTGAATCCTCTGTTCTAGGGGATACAAGACAGTGGAGAAAGCTGACCTCAAGTATCCTCTTGTCCATGGTCACGGGAAGCAGGTAGCTTAACGCTTTACACACTGGGAAGGCAGAGGCAAGTCTGCTGGGAGTCCTCAGTGTCCCTGTCGCCCAGGGTCATGCTCTGGAGCTCTCCAGCATGGCACAGTCCCACAGCCCTGATACCACAGCTTCCTTCACTAGCACTGTGCTGCCTGTTGAGTGTGACCCAGAGCCCTCCAGAGCAGAGGTTGTACTCTCCTCCAGAGGACCTTCTACAGAGCAGACAGCAGCCCTGAGCCAGCCTGCCCGTTCCTCATTTCTCCTTGCACACAAGAACTCATTTCATCAGAAAAGGAGCCCGGAGAGGGAAGGAGGAGGCAGGGGGAAGCAGTGACTGCAAGGAGTCAGTGCAGAATCTCCTTTGCCAGGAGAAAGGACCTTCTCCTTGCCTTGTTTTTTTTCTTTTTTTTTTTTTTTTTTTCCCCCTCCCAGAACCAACCCAATTTTCTTCCTTGCCACCCCAAATCAAGAGCAGATGCCACCATAGGTTTCCTGAGCAGTGTAGCATTATGACCCAGAGTCTGTGCTGTTAACTCCAGAGCACAGCACAGGGCACCAGGAGCCGTCCACATGCAGGCAGGCTGTCTCCATGCTCACATCGGGCCATTACTTCTGATGACTCCTCAATCTCGCAAGTCTCCAGGGGCTGCTCTGTGCTTGAAGGGTCCCTAAAGGCAACACATAGATCAGTCAGGACAAGCCACACATCAGCCTTCAAAGGTGCCATATTCTTATGTTTCAATACCGGTTTGCTTTGTTTGAGGTCAGGCTCGCTTGCTGGGGACTCTGGCTGTCTCTCGAGGTCTGGGGGATCATCAACTCAAAGTCATCGACACCAACATTGAAGTCAAACCTTTCCTCTCCTGCATTCCCAAGGTCAGTCATGGCACATGGGAATTGCAGGGTGGAGTTAAGCATGCTGCTGCTGCTGCTCTGTAGCACCCACCTTTTACAGACCTGGCAGGTCTTAGCTACGTCCCTTTTTCCATCCCCCATCTCTCTGCATGCTGCCCAGAGAATCCTCAAGACAGAGGACTCTAGAAGCATAGTGGCAGGGGGATGTAAAAGACTCAAAGCACCTTGATCCCACGTGAAGTCATCTCTCAGGAAAGAGTCATCTCCCTGACCCCTCTGGTACATTTGACATTTCCTGTCACCAATTTACTCCTGTGCTTTCCAGGTGAATATATTTGACTTTGCTCTGCATGATGTTAAGGAAGATGATGTCCTCATCATGGCAACTGATGGCCTTTGGGATGTTCTGTGCAATGAAGAGGTGGCCCATATGGTCAGGAGCTTCCTTGCAGAAAACAGGACAGATCCTCACAGGTAATACCAGCCTTGCCATCATTTTTCTTTCCAGAGAACCTGGACAGACCAAAAGCAGGCTGAGATCAGTCCGCT